TCATTTCTATTGCATTGGAGGTGTCGACCCTTGGGACACATTGGCAATAAACCATCCAGCTGACTTAGGCTGGTGTAAGAGCTGGGGAACACAGGATAATGAGTCACTCCATGAAAGCCTTGAAACATTCTCTACCTGAAACATAACCCAAATGGAACAGTTTGGATACAATTCCCAAATCTTTTGGAAACTCCAGTCGTTACTGAGAATGCAAATTCAGCAGATAACTAAAGCCGGTGCCCTTGTGAGCCCACAGCCAGCGGTGCTGAGGGAGGCCCTGGGAGCTCCCCAGCACCTCCCTCTCAGTGGGACACCTCTCGCAGCCTCTCGGAGCTCGGGAACCCTCCAGTTTGCAACACTGCAAAGAGCGTCGCTGATGCCCAGGACAATTCTGATCCCCCTCAACAAACACTCCTCCAGCTGTGACCCTTGTCTGGTGGGAAACACAAAGGGATGTGTGAGAGAGTTTCACTGACAACCAGGAGAATTTTGGAAAAGGACCTTTACAAACCCAGATCTTGATGTGTCCACATATCTCTGTCTGGGTGTGGGTGTGAATTGACTGTGGTGTGAGTGTTTTTATTGGGAATCTATAATTCAGTCACTGTTCAATTGTAACAAATTATATTGAATCGCTTGATAACAATTAGTTACTCAATCATCATCATGGCTAGGCTTCGCGAACGAAGATTTGAAAGGGCTCTACCCACACTTGCTACAAGCGCGCTGATGGCTAAAAAGGCCAATGCGAGATAGACAAGTCCGGTTGCAGAAGGCACAGCAGAAAGACTCCCCAGGTGATACAGATGAGACGCGATTCTTTCTGCGTTGCCTTTTCTCCTCGAGAGTGATCCTGCGTGTGTTCTCAAAAGCAGCAGCAGCGTTATAGATGGTGTGTCTCCAGGCCTCCCGATTGGAGGCCAGGGTAGACCAATGGTGATGATCAATATGGCCAAGGCTGAGGGATTGTTTCAGGGAGTCCTTGTATCTCCTCTTTGGGGCTCCTCTCTTGTGGTAGCCAGTGGCAAGTTCCCCATAGAGCACAATCTTAGGGAGGCGGTAGTCCTGCATCCTGGAGACGTGCCCTGCCCAGCACAGCTGTGTTCTCAGCAGCATGGCCTCAATGCTCGTGATTGCTGCCTGTTCAAGGACAGACGTGTTGGTCACATAGTCAGTTGCTCAATAATTATATGCTATTAAACACTTTTGCCCCCTTGTCTTTGTGACCAAATCCTTTGTACCTTGACCCTCTTGCAACCTAAAGGTTCTGTGTAAATCATTGCCTTTCATAGAAAATTATATTTTTGTGACTTCCACTTTAAAATCTTCCTCCTCAGCTAAACTACAAAACAACTCCAATTAGCTGTAGAAGAACTGAAATCATAAAGACAACAAATGGAAGGAAAATAATTTGTTTTTCTGTATTTTAATGAGCCCCACAGTGTGTTTAGAGAAAAGTCCATCATCCTCAACTACTGAGAGAAGATTGAAGAAGCTGTTCAAGAAGTCAGAAACCAAAGCCCAAGTCCCTTGAAGCATTGCTGGGCCCCACTGAGGGCAGGCACTGACAAAGCCTCCCCAGGGACTCCTTCGAGCAGATCCTTGCAGGCCAGGAGTGCAGGCAGACAAAGGCTCTGGGCAGGCCCCTGCAATGCTGAGCAAAGCCTGCCTTGGTTTTGGGGAGCACAAAGGCCAAGGCTGAGCCCCAGGCCCTGGCCCAGCAGATCCTGTCCCTGCCGGGGGGCTCAGGGCTGTTTGGGGGGCAGTGCGATGGGAGGGGGAGCAACAACAAAGGCCCAAAACTGTGCCAGCCCTGCCAGGCTGCTCAGGGAGGGGCGAGGCAGAACCCAAGGGCAGAAGCTGCCAGGAAAGTTGCTTGTGGTGGCCTGAGGGGCAGAGGCAGCTGCCAGAGCCAAGGGCACAAAGGCCTGGGTGCCTTTGGGCCTTGCAGCCCTGCCAGAGCCCTTGGCCATCTCTGCTGCAGGCTGTGCTCCCCTGGCCCTGCTGCTCCTCTGGCCTTGCAGGCTGCACACACCCCTCCTGCTTTCTCATCCCCCTCCCAGCAGCATTTCTGGGCCCTCCCTGATGGCTCTGCTGTCCCCCAGCTCTGGCTGCTGCCATGTGCACTTGGCCTTCTTGGCTTGGATGCTGAGCCCCTGTGCCCCAGGACATCCCTGAGAGAGCCCAGGCCCTTCTGCTGGGGGTCCCTGCAGAGCTGAGCAGATCCAGGTCACCTCCCATTGCTCTGCCAACCCCTTGGGGCTGCTCTGGGCCCTGCAGGTTCTTGCCCTGCTCCCAAGGGCTGTGGGGGTGCTTCATGGTCAGGGCTTGGGCTTTAGAGCTCAGGGTGGGGATTGGGCAGAACTTTGGCAGGTTTGTTGTTCTGCTGACAGTTCATGATGAGGAGAAGAGTTTTTTGGGCTGGGTCAGGATTAAAGCTTGGCTTTCTCATACTGGTAATACAGGTTTGGGGCTGGGGTGGGCACTGGAGTACAAATAAGAGTCTGGAGTTGTCTGTTTGGGCACTGAGAGGAGTCTCAGCATTCCCATCAGCTCAGGGCTGGACACTCAGCATGGCACAGCAAATGGAGCTCAGGGCAACTGCAGGAGCCCTGGTGTCATCTGCAGGAGATGCCCAGCAAAGCCTGACTGTGCCCCTCAGTGCCAGCCCCTCTGCCCAGCCCAGCACAGAGTCCTGGCCCAGGGACAGAGCAGCCTGTCCCCAGGGGGGCTGCAGAAAGAGCGTTCTCTCTGCCATGGATTCCTCTGTGCAGGCACAGAAATGCTGCCTTGCTCTCCTCCAGGCACATCCCTTTGCCCAGGGCAGTGTGGCCACTTGCAGATCCCAACCTGGGATCCCTGCAGGGCCCTGAGCTGGAGGGGCTGCTCTGCAGAGGGAGGGGCTGTGTCACCCTGGGCTGAGCCTGCCCTGGCCATGCTGGTCAGGCTGGGAAGCAGAGCCAGCAGGATGGGGATCCCTCCTCCCCACCCTATTCCATCATCCTGGAAGGCTCAGTAGCCATGAACAAGGCTGGGCAGGACCATGGGCTGTTTGCAGTGGCACAGAGGGCAGGGCAGGGCTCCACTCCATCCAGCCTGTGGGCTGCAGAGTTCTTAGGACACCCTCCTGGAAAACCCAGCCCTGGCTCTGGTACAGCCCTGCCTGAGCTGGGCAGGCACAGTGGGAGTTCACTGAGGGCAAGAGGAGTCACTGCCTAGAGTCCTTTCTCTGTTCCTGCTGCATCCTCTGGGGTTGCAGAACTCTCCTTTACCAGTTCCCAGGGGCATTTAGTACTTTAGCTGTGGGTGACTCCACCCTGGGCAGGATTCTGCTCCAGGGCTCCAGTCACTGCTGACTGGATGGGATGGGCTGTCCCTGCAGATCCTCTCTGCTCTCCTGCAGTTCCTCATTTCCTACACACAAGTCCTCCCCTGCCATCAGAGCCAGCACAAGCTGCAGAGCCCCAGGCAGGTGACTTGGAGACCATTTGCCACTGGCCACCAGCACAGAACATCTGACCCAGCCCTCAGTCCCTGAAGTACCACAGTGAGTCCTTCTCTCCCTGCACGGCCTGAGTGGGGAAACAAGCCAAGCCAGGAGATTTTAGAGAGTCTTTTCCTTGGCTTGTTCTTTACACCAACCTTTTAAAAGGAACAGAGTCTTCAGGAACTGCCCAGGGGGATCCCCTTTCCTGATGGAAATGATGTTAAGGAGCCCAGCCCTGTGCCAGCAGTGCCCATGGTCTGTCCCTGTCCATGGTCACAGCACTGACCCACAGCAGTGACTGAGCTGCCAGAGCACTCAGGCCTTGGGAAGGAGCAGAAAGGAGAGGGAGGCAGTGGACAAAGAGCATCTCTTAAAAGCCCAAGAGCTGCTGCTCCCTGGCAGTGCTCCTGTTCCAATACTCTTGAGCCCTTCTCCTCTGAACACAGGCACTGCCCTCCTGCTGCAGGGAAGTTCTTGGAGCAAGAACCTGGATGAAACGACTCAAGTCCTTTAATATACTCAGAGATTGTGATTCCTCATGTACAGAATAACAAAGGCAGGATGTTTCACCAAGAGGTTCCTGCAGGACCTTTTATTTTGTTTAAATGCATTCAGAGAATGATTCCTCATTTACAGAGTTGTGGGTCGAAACAAAGAGAGAGAGAGTCAATTACATATGGGATGAAGAATAAATTTCTGTGTTAACAACATTAAGAATGGAAAAAATACAGTAAAGTTCCCCCACTGCCACTCTCAAAAGCTTTAGAAGGCAGGCTGGGCCAATGAAGGGTTACACAGTGGGTGTTCTGCAGAAGAAAAGAAGCAGGTTATTGCTCCTGAAAAGCATCCACTCATCATTTTCCTTATGGCATCCCTGAGCTCCTGGTTCCTCAGGCTGTAGATGAGGGGGTTCAGTGCTGGAGACCCCACCGAGTAGAGAACTGACAAGGCCAGATCCAGGGATGGGGAAGACATGGAGGGGGGCTTGAGGTAAGCAAAAATCATGGTGCAGGCAAAGAGGGAGACGACAGCCAGGTGAGGGAGGCACGTGGAGAAGGCTTTGTGCCGTCCCTGTTCAGAGGGGATCCTCAGCACAGCCCTGAAGATCTGCACATAGGAGAAAACTATGAAAATGAAACAACCAAATGCTATACAGGCACTAACCCCAAGAAGACCAATTTCCCTGAGGTAGCCTGAGTGTGAGCAGGAGAGCTTGAGGATGTGTGGGATTTCACAGAACTGGCCCAGGGCATTGCCCTGGCACAGGGGCAGGGAAAATGTATTGGCTGTATGCAGCAGAGCATTGAGAAACCCAGAGGCCCAGGCAGCTGCTGCCATGTGGGCACAAGCTCTGCTGCCCAGGAGGGTCCCGTAGTGCAGGGGTTTGCAGATGGCAACGTAGCGGTCGTAGCACATGATGGTGAGGAGGGAAAACTCTGTTGACATGAAGAAGAAAAAGAAAAAGAGTTGTGCAGCACATCCTGTGTAGGAGATGGTTGTGGTGCCCCAGAGGGAGTTGTGCATGGCTTTGGGCACAGTGGTGTAGATGAAGCCCAGGTCTGTGAGGGAGAGGTGCAGCAGGAAGAAGTCCCTGGGGGTGTGCAGGTGCTGGTCGCAGGCTACGGCGCTGAGGATGAGGCCGTTGCCCAGGAGGGCAGCCAGGGAGATGCCCAGGAAGAGCCAGAAGTGCAGCAGCTGCAGCTCCCGCCTGTCTGAGAATGCCAGGAGCAGGAACTGGGCCATGGAACTGCTGTTGGGCATTTGCTGCCACTTGCTGTGGGGCACTGTCCAAGGAGGAAGTTTCAGTGATATGTTAGCAAAGAACTTCCTGAGAAAAATCAAAGCCATTTCCCAATAGCTTTTCCGTGCTACGTTCCTCCACCTGTTTTGTTGGGTTTTCTTCTTCAAATTCCCTCATCTCTCCAGGAGTGTTCCTGGATGTCAGAACCCCTCAGCACTTCTGATGCACTCAGGGAGAACAGAGCAGGTCCTGCCAGGCAGGAGGATTGTCTGGGGCTTAGTGCAGAGTGAGGGGAGCTGCTCTGTCCCCCTCTCTTGTTCCCAACTGCCCTGGGTTTGCTCCTTCCTGAGATGGAGATTGATCACACTCCCAGTTTGGTCTGAAAAGCCTCCAGACACTGCTGAGAGCAGAGGGATCCATCCCACACCCCTCAGTGTCTCAGCCTGTCTCAAGGGCTCAGCACCCCCCTTGTAGCCAAGGACACCCGTGGCTCATCTCACCAACCCAACAGCATCTCCTGGGCTGGCACAGCAGCTCTGCCCCTCTGCACTGGGCAAGCTGAGAAACAAGGAATGCACAGGGAGGGGCCAGCTGGGAGAGGCCAGGGCAGAGCCCACTGGGCACTCAGGGCAGCCTCCCCCTGAGCCAGCTGGGCCACCTCCCACACACCACCAGTGCCAGGAAGGTGTTCTCAGCCCTGTGCAGCTCCTCAGAGGTCCCTCTGGAACTTAAACCACCAGGCATGTGGCTCGAGAGCTTGAGAGAAATCCCTCCTTGGACCCTCCCCTTGAAGTATCCCCTGGGCTGCTCTGGTTGTGTGAGCAGCCCTGCCCCAGGAAACTCTCAGCTGATCAGGGAAGGAACCTGCCCAGCCCTGCCAGGCTTTACTCTTTCCCCCCACAGCCCCTGCCCAGCCCTGAGGGAGCTCCCCAGCCCGGCTGAGGCTGCCCCTGGCAGGTGGCAGAGCTGCTGCCCCGGCACAGCCCCTGGGCTGCAGGACCCTGCTCTGCAGGACAGCTTGGGGCAGCCTGGGGGGCACAGCCCGGCTTCACAGCCCTGCAGGAGCCCTGGCAGAAGGGAACCCTGCTGGGATGGGCCTGGGATGCTGCAGCAGGGACTGGGATGTGCCAGCGCTCGCAGATCTTTGCCCAACCTGCAGACACGGTGCCCTTCCTGCTGACTGACCTGACACCAACACCCAGGGAGGAGTCTTCCTAAACTCTGAGGTGTTACTGAGGGGAACAGCAGGTCAGAAAACATCAATATCCAATTAGCCAAGGGACAAGCCCAGGGACTTTTTCAAGAGAAAAATTTGAATTCCACAAACATTCCTAATGCTTTTCATGTTTTCCCACAGTATTTGTGCCATTTTCCTGTGAGTTTGATCTATCTCATAGAGGTGTCATTCAAAATGTCCAAGATACAATTAAAATTTGCATGAGAGAAAAGTCACCATGATTGTTTTGTAATGTACAAAGTTCATAATATAATTACACAGAAAAAGTAAATATTCCTATTTAAATCCAAAAGAAATCACTGAGATACCCACCTGCATTTTAATTGAATACTTGAACTCAAAGCAACCATTCACATGCAGATTATCCACAGAGCAGCAATGCCTGCTTGTCCCCAAATGTTGTCAAAGATGCAGCCTCCTCTTTTGAACTCTCAGGTGTCTCCCTGCTCCAAAGATCGGGGCTGGAGCCCAGGGCAGGCCGGATTTGCTCCCAGGAACTGCCAGAGCCCTTCTTAGGTGGTGCCAATCTCACAGGCAGCGTTTCCCAAAGCTGGAGGAAGCCTGAAAAGGAAGGAAACTTCCCCAAAGCCAGCCAGGCTTTTCTCAGCAGCTGAGCTGCTGCCCAGAGCCTTTGCCTCCCTGCACTCAGGGCCTCCGAGGAGCTGCTGCAGAGGCCCTGGGGAGGCTTTGTCAAGAGGGGCTCTCGAGGGGGTCCTTAAGGCTTCAAGGGCCTGCAGGATTTTCAGAGCAATTTGGGGTTAGCTTTTGGTTTTGCATCTCTGAGAGGTTTGTGCAGCCATGGCCTCCAATTATCTGCTGTAATGAGTCCCTTGAGAGCCCCAGACAGTGACAACCCTCAGTGGGTCATTAATGCTTCAAGGCACTCAGGGTTTATTAAAACACTTCTTTTTGACACTGAGTCTTTGAGAGGTTTGTTCAGTCATGGCCTCCAATTATCTGCTCTAAGGAGTCCCTTGAGAGCCTTTGTCAGGAATGGCCCTCAGTGGGGCTTGTTAAAGCTTCAAGGTACTACAGGTTTGTTAAGATACTTTGCCTTTTCCTTTTATTCTGAGTTTGGAAGAGGTTTGTGCAATCATGGCCTCTGATTATCTACTTTAATTAGTCCCTGAGAGACTTTGTCAGCAGTGACACTCAGTGGGGTTCATTGATGCTTCAAGGGACTCAAGGTTTTTGAAGGAACTTTTCCTTTTGAAAGTGAGTCTTTGAGAGATTTGTTCAGTCATGGCCTCCAATTATCTGCTCTAATGAGTCCCTTGGGATTCTCTGTCAGTTGTGACACTCAGTGGGGCTCATTGATGCTTCAAGGCACTCAAGGTAAGTTTGTTAAGGACACTTTCCTTTTGACACTGAGTCTTAGAGAGGTTTGTTCAGTCATGGCCTCCAATTCTCTCCTCCACTGAGGCCATGAGGGGTCTGTTTTGGGAATGGCCCTCAGGGGGGCCCATTAATGCTTCCAGATACTTTGGGTTTTCCTTCTGACTTTCACTTATGGACAGGTTTGTGCAATCTCCTCTCAGTACCTGAGGTTCAAGGACTCAGCACCAAAAGCCCCCGGGGCTCACTCAGATAAAGCAAGTCCTGACAAACCATGGCCCTTCCTGTGATTTCCCTCTAGTCTGGACTGTGAATTAGGAATGTTGTCTCATGGAATCAGGGGACCATTGTGACACTGCCCAGAGCCTTTGTCTGCCTGCACTCCTGGCCTGCAAGGATCTGCTCGAAGGAGTCCCTGGGGAGGCTTTGTCAGTGCCTGCCCTCAGTGGGGCCCAGCAATGCTTCAAGGGACTTGGGCTTTGGCTTCTGAGTTCTTGAGCAGCTTCTTCAATCTTCTCTCAGTACCTCAGGATGATGGACTTGTCTCTAAACACACCGTGGGGCTCATTAAAATACAGAAAAACAAATTATTTTCCTTTTTTTAATTATCTTCATGTCTTCAACAGCTAATTGGAGTTGTTTTGTAGTTTAGCTGAGGAGGAAAACTTTTAAGTGGAAGTCACATAATTATATTTTTTTCTATGAAAGGGAATAATTTACACACAGAGCCTTGGGATGCAAGAGGGTCAGGGTGCAAAGGATTTGGACACAAAGATAAGGGGGCAAAGCAGATTAGTAGCACTTAATCATTGACCAACTTCACAGTTACCAAGGGATTCAATAGCATTTACTACAATTTTCACAGTGACTGAATTATAGATTCAAAATAACAACACTCACACCACAGTCAATTCACACCCACACCCAGGCAGAGATGTGTGGACACATCAAGATCTGGGTGTGTAAAGGTCCCTCTCCAAAATTCTCCTTGTTGTCAGTGAAACCCTCCCACACATCCCTTTGTGTTTCCCATCAGACAAGGGTCACCCCTGGAGGAGTGTTTGTTGAGGGGGATCAGAATTGTCAGGAGTTCCTGAGATCATATTTATAAGAAGGATGGGGACAGATTTACTTGTAATAAGAGAAGTGATAATGGTTAAAAAGTAAAAAAGAGCAGATTTGAACTACATATAAGGCAGAAATTTTTTACAATGAGGGTGGTGAAACAATGGCACAGAAAGGTCATAGATACCCCACTCTTGGAAACATTCAAGGCCAGGATAGAAAGGGCTCTGAGAACCCTGATCAGTGTCCCTGTTCAATGAAGGGGGGTTGGACTAGATGACCTAAATAGGTCCCATATGACTCAAACTATTTATGATTCTCTAGTTCATCCTTATCCTACAGAGCCAAGGCTGCCAAGGATCACTCAGGTTTCAGACCCAGCTGAGCATCCCCCTTGCTGGCCCATCTGGCAGCTCTGCTAAAAAGCTGCTGCAAAGAACCTCCAGACCTCAAGGAGCTTTTGTGCTGGGCTGAGCTGGGGCTGTCAGGGCTGGGGGGTTGGCTTTTGGCTTCCAGGGGACCACCAAGGCTCTCTCTCAGTCCTCCTCCTTCTCCACTCCCCTTGCTGCCTGCATTTTCCTCCCACATTTTCCTCACTCCTCTCTGGGTTCCAGCACCCTGGATTTTATCCTTTCTCCAAAGGGTTATCACAGAGGTGCCTCTGCAATTGCTTTTTGGCTCAGCTTTGGGCACTGGCTGGTCCTTTTTGGAGCAACCTGAAACTGGCTCCCGTCTGACACAAAGTCAGCTCTTGATCTCTTCTTCCCTAAGGCAAATCTGCAGCCCCCTCCCTGCTACCAAACCTGATACACAGGGTCAGGAAAGTGCCCAGGAATACAAGAGATCATTGAGCCCCTTCTTCCTCAGGCTGCTGAAACAAGACTTTGTCCTCTTGCTCTCCCTGCCTGCAGGTTCTCTCTGTCAGAGCAGAGCTGTGCTGGCCCTCAGCCGTGCTTTGCTCCAGAGCCTGCTGGGCTGGGGGCAGATGGCAATGGCAGAGGGGCTGAGGTGCCCCAAGGAGAGCAAACCCTGCTGTGTCCAGGCCAGAGAGACACAGGGCTGTGCAGCCTGGCAGGACAGGGTTTTGCTGTCTGGGGGTCTCTGCCAGCGTAGAGAGCCTGGAGGCTTCAGGTGACTCTGATCTGCAGGAAGGACAAGGTGCTGATGGAAATGTCCTTGGCTTTGGACATCCTGTGATCCAGGAACACTGTGAAAATCACTGCTCTGTGCCTTGGCTGCAGCATCAAAGGGATGACTGAGGGTTATCAAGCATTGGAACAGAATGTCCAGGGAAGTGGTTGCGTCACCACAGAATCACAGAATTGTTAAGGTTGGAAAAGACCTCTGAGATCATGGAGTGCAACCATGAACCCAACACTGGCATCTTCACCACTGAACCCTGTCCCCAAGTGCCACAGATCAATGTTTCCTGAACACTTCCAGGGACGGTGACTGTAAGACCTCAGGATTGAGCTACGAGCTCATCAAAGTGCTTGTACTTGAAAAAATATATAAGATGCCAGAATATCTGTGCTCTGCTTATTTTAAAAGGTCCTTCAGTCCTTTTAACCTTGAGGGATATTACAATGGAAAAGATGCCCCACACGTTTTCTCAGGAAGTCGAATAACACACTTTTCCTTGAACCTTTAGCAAATAAGGGAGCTTGCCAAAAGTTCATAGGGTAACATTGCACCTGAATAGAGCATTGCCCAAAGCACT